GTAAAGTTTATGAAGCTATTCATGCTTTTCAAACAAAAAAATATAAGGTCAACGAGGTGAAAATGCAAAATTTAGTGAAAGATCAGGTCAAGTTAGGAATAATATTATCCAAAATTTATTTTTGAAGAAATTACATGAAATTTACCATTTTTCGTCGCGTTTTACATTGAGCAGAGCAGTCATTTCATCCCAGGTATCCTGCTTCAAATCTATCGAATTGCAAATGTGTAGCGTGTAATGCAAGCACATATTGATGGTTGCGATAGTTTTTGAAGTTGTTGCTATTCGAATGAGAAGTTTTGCGCATTCCACTGCCAAAGAATCCTCCAAAACTGAGAGATGTTCGCCGTGAAATTCTCGCAAACGGAAAAGCGACCTGGATTTTTCCAGTATTAAACACTCAATTTATAAATACAGTTCCAAAAATACTTCCCCCATTTCGCATCACTCCCTCCTTTCCTCCTCTTCCCTTCCCTCCTTCCATTTTCCCCTCCCTCCTCCAAAACCTCGATTATGGCGCTCAATTTCCTTCTTCTTAAACACTACACAGCTGATTTTAGTGCATTTTTTTCTTGAATTTTCATGTTTCTCCTTGCAATTCCAGCTTCTTCTATTTCCTTTGTCTCAGCCAAATTCTGCATTCCCGGCGGTTGCTTTGTTGTTTTCGCATTTCTTCTTTGCACGGAGTTTTTAATGACCTTTTTAAATTAAAAAAGACGGAAGGAAAAGAGAGGTGACTGCTTTTTTTTTTCTTCAGATGTAATTAAGAAAATTAAGAAAATTAAGGACTTAGCCTGAAAGAACTAGGAACTTAGCCTGAAGAACTAAGAACTTAGCCTGAAAGAAAAAATTAAGAACTTAGTCTTAAACTGTCATTTCACTACTCCTTACGCGTGAATTTGCTAACTTATCCGCGACTGCACTGGGAGCTACCAAATGTGAAATCGATGAGATGCTGGATCAAACAAAGTAACAAAATTGTCTTAACAATCAGTGCACTGACGAAAATGTTAATAATTGGACTAGAAACAACACACACATACACAAATAGCAGCTGTGTCTAAGATGGGCGTATACACGGGTACCACGCTTACTCGGGGCATGGGTTTCAGTGCACTAACACAAGCTTGAACGAGGAATATCCCCCTAAGATTTCAGCATTCTAGCTTCTCAGATTCGGGAGTTATGACCTTAAATCGGAACTTACCCTGACTTGTTGCCACTTTCCTCGAACTTAAGACATTCCTCGAGAACAGTGATCGGGCTGCGACTCGATAT